TCTCTCTCTCTCTCTCTCTCTCTCTCTCTCTCTCTCTCTCTCTCTCTCTCCTTCTTCACTACAGACACAATGAGATTGGCTGCTCAAGCTCCTGTTATTCCCCTGCAATGACCGCCAGTTAGCTTGAACAGGAAGCCGAAATCAACCCTTTTCCCCTTAAGCTGCCTTCTTAGGGTAATTTTGTCATAGCAATGGGAAGACACAGAAACAGCAGTGCTGTGTGGTTGGCAGTTTTGGAAGCTGGGGAGGCAGCTGTAAACACATTCTCCCCGTCTCCCCACACTGTCTCTGCTGGAATAAAACCTCCATAGGAGAAGGACTTTGCAGAGTTTGCTCATTATACTTCCTTCCCATTGCTGCCTCAGGATGACCACTCTTCCCATTTTATAGGTAGAGAAACTGAGGTTCATCAAGGAAGAATGGGTGACTTGCCAAGGATCAACCATCCAGCCAGAGCAAGAGCTCAAGCTGGTCTGACTCCAGAGCCCTCTTTCTACTTTGCCTGGCATCTGAGGCAGTCCAGTGGATGTGAGGGCTGACTGGAGGCCGTTCAACAAGAGAAGGAAAGTTCCTGGCCAAGGGAGCAGCAGCTTGCCCCTGTCTCCCTGCCTGAGCATAGCCTGGCTTTCCCAGTCATGGAAGCTCTTGTGTTTGTTCAGAGGTACCAACTATGTAGCCACTGGGCCTTTGTTCTGCCATTCTTCTTGACTGGAGGGCCTGCCTCTCTGAATAGGACCAGACCAAGCCGGTGCCTGGATTTAGTGCAGCTTCTCACTGTTGTCTGCTCTGTGGCTCACTCCCATTCTGGTGCAGCATCTTCCCGTACCTCATGAGTTCTCCTTCTTCATCCTGATCCCTACCTAGATTCCACTTGACTATTTTTATTAAATATAATGTTTTGTTGGAGGTGGTAGTGCACTCCCAGAACTCAGGAGGCTGAGGCAGGCAGATCTCTGAGTTCAAGGCCAGCCTGTTATACAGAATGAGTTCCAGAACAAACTACATATATATTAATTTAGACTTTAATACATGTATCCGATGATTTTTGAGTCTATACTCTATCTACCTTCCCCCAATTCCTCCCAGATCCACCCCCATTCACTTCAAACTTTGTTCCTGCCTCCCCGTAATATAACCCACTGAGCCCCATAGTGATACTTTCGAGGTGTATTCTGGATACAGATGCGTCCTTATCAATTACTTACGATGCTAATTGCGTGAGTGGGTCAAACTGCAGATGGTACTTTCCACAGGCCAGCTTCTTGGAGGATTTCCTTTTGTTTGATTTTGCTTCCTTGCCACTGTTCTGTGTGCAGAGTCTCACACATGTCCCCTGTTGCTAGGCACGTGTAGTGAGCATTCATCTCCAGGCCTCCATCCTTAGTGGCAGATCCTGGCTTCCTCTGGTTTCCCTTGAAGCAAACGGACGTGAACTTCTGGCACGTGACTCAGCAGCTCCTGTATGTGTGTGTGTGTGTGTGTGTGTGTGTGTGTGTGTGTGTGTATGTATGCATATGCATGTGTGCACACTTACGTGCATATGTATATGTGCTTATGCACATATGTTTGTACATCTATATATGTGACTGTGTCCATCTGTGTGACTCTGGGGTGTTCACACCAGCACAGCATGGCTGAGGACACAAAGGCCTCAGGACTATGCACTCTACTATGTCATGCCTGCCTCAGTCCACTCACCCCTCAGCAAAATGTGGGCTCTACTTTGCCCCTGACTCTTAGAATTAGCAGACTTCCTCATGAGAGAGAAATGGGTGCCAGACATGCTTGTTCTCCATCTCTGGCTTTCTTCCTCAGCAGATGGTACATTGTCGTGGCAGGGAATGCATGGCAGCACGC